TGATTTCTTATTTAGTACTAATCTACTAATTTTTTAATATAAGTTTGTACTCTGTATAAAATTCAGTATTTTTATTAACGTTTGTAGTCATTAATAAAAAAATTATTCATTTTATCCGCTGTATTAGTAGATCAACAAATTAATACTAATCATTCATTCAAAAAAAATTTTTTTTTTTAGTATTTTTGTTTTTGGCAATTTAAAAAAATTTTGGAAAATACTAAAATTTTTTTTTGAATGAATGATTATGATTAGTACTGACTAATTTGTGACTAAAAATTGTGCAAATTAGTCATTAGTAAAAATACCAAAACAGAAATAAAAAATACACTAAAAATTAGTAAAAAATCAGTATTCTGATCAAAAAATTAGTAATCCATCATTCATTTGTACATCAATGTCATAAAGTGAGAGAAAAACAAGAAGGTCAGAAAGAACCTTTTTATTGTTTAGGACTTTAGGTTTTGTATAAAAATAGTATTATACATTCGTATAAAAAAAAAGAAGAAAATCAAACCTTTTCTAAATAGAAAATTATGAAGTTAATTTGTATTACAAAAAAATAATGAATAGAAACACCAGAAGCATTATCAGTGGGAACACTGGTGATTCATTGAGTTAATCAGTTTATGCGAGGAGCTGTTTCTGATAATGCTACTCTCATATCATCATCGGCTTTCAGGCGGTTTTTTTAAATTATTAGGTACTTCAATTATTTACCCCCAACTATATAATTTTTTGCCCTACAGGGGTAAATTTACCCCTGGTTGAGAACATCTGCCCTAGAGAAAACGTTAAACTAGTTATTATCAGGCAAATATGTTTTTAGTGAACAGAATCCTTGATGTAACCCATCTTAATTTACCAAGACCAAATCCCTACATGTGAACAACCCCAATCAATTAAGTTCAGAAGCCATGAAAGCTATTATTATTATTATTCAATATTAATTGTTGCAAATCAAACGACAACAAATCTCCTTAAATCTCGAGCACTCTTCAGTATTCTCACCTTTTTTTTCTCCTCTATTATGAGCTGCATTGTTTCTTCAGATATCCAATATCTCAAATCTCTTTGCTATGGTCTTTGGGAATGTTCCGAGTGTGTCAGTAAAGATTGATACTACTATCAGTGTCCGGTTTCACAGCTTTTATAGTTATCAAGCAATGCACTGTTATTTTATATCTGCATCTTAAATCTTATAATCTGGCAAACCGGCTACACCGATTTACTGGACACATTTCTCTGTTAAATCGAATTCATTACCGCCTATTCGTTTTAATTTTTCCCGTTATTCATTTATTTTCGTTAGTTTCGATTTCCTTTTAATTCTTCTATTTCAATCGCTTTATCTGATAATAACATTTTCAATTTAGTTTTATCCTCACCTCACAATTATTCATAAAGTGTGTCAAGAGAAACATTTGAATCAATGTCCGTAGCCTGATACAGCTATTAGGGGAATTTCTATTTGATCTCTACTCTATATAATTCTTGATAACATGAGTTATCCTGGTCAACAAGTCATACGGAAAGCAAGGAGTTGTGGCACAAAGCGCTAACGGTGAAATCACGCGGGAAAACATCCAGTTCTCGTTCGATCTCCGAAGTTTATTTTTTACCATTTCACGCCAAGCAAGGCAATAAAGACACTAAGATTCAAGGAGGTTAAGGGGGGGGTGAGAGAATATGAGAAAAAGAAAACATTAATGAAAAGACCAATAAAAGAACGGGTATAAAAAAGACAGAAGATAACAATTAACATTGCCTTAAAATTTTTGAAGATCAAATTTGATTGGAAAACAAAAAGCACCCAAAAAGTTCCACAAACGTAAAGAAACTGTTAGCATGTAACTTACGATTTCATCAAACCATTTAAAGTATAAAATTACGAGATAAAGCCGCCAATTTCTTACTTCGCTTAAATTCATAAAGTCTAGGTACCAAAACGATTACCATGAAAATATTTATAGAAAAGGCAGAGGGAAGCTACATTACGGCGGTGGGAAAGTGACTGATGTCGAGAAGCCAGGTCAAGACCAACAACATTGCAAATTCAATTTTGGATTTTATCAAGAATCTCTAAATACAGAAACACCAGATCAAATGTGACAGAAATATTCCAAGTATGGACGAATTGTAGACTTATAAATGTGTAAGATAATTTCTGGCAAGAAAAATAATCTAGCACGACACAGTGAAGCAACATTCCTATCAGCAGATCTAGCATTTGATTCAATATAATCTTTCCACTTATTTCAGCGGAAAACGTTAGCCGGAGAAGCTTGAAGGAGTCATTCTCCTGAAGGTTAGCATCAGCCATGCTGATGAAAGGCAAAAAAGATTCTCGCAGATGATTAAGAGTGCAGTTTCGTTTTGGAGGAGTTACAAATAACAAGCCTATTCTTGTCCCAGTTAACAAGAGGCTGTGGATCATTCTTTTAGATCAGCTCCATTTTGACCTGATTGAACCAATCAGACTTACCATTAAGACAGAAGTAAATAGTTGCTATCAACACAGACACCGAGGTGAGAACTGGTGACCTCAGATAGGTCGTTGATGAAAATTATGAACAACATAGGTCCAAATGTTAGAGACCTGGGCGACACCTGCATTAATGCAGAAAGATCTAGAAGAGTGGCCATTCAAGATAACTTTCATTCCACGATTTGATAAGAAAAATGCTATCTGATCCCAAAATGATCCTTTTTATTAGTGTCGTGCTTGGTAGGTACGTATTCTAAGCAATCTCTTACAATCTGAAATATGTTTTGGTTTTAAATAACCTACAAATGGTTGATAAGCCGCAAAACAAAATCAGTTGTGGAAGAAAGAAGAACTTTTAGAATTTGTATGAGAAAAAATTCCAGTATGATCAAATCTGCTGATCGTAATGGTGAAGAGATCAATTCCGCAGCTGCCAACCAAATTTTCAATTAGAAACCAAATGTAACAAAAACTTTGGGGAATCACTGTTTTCTTTACATTCTAATCATGTAAATAAAATAAACAAATTCTGCAGCAAAAGCAACTTTTAGTTTCGCTTTTATTGAAGCCATGAGTCAATTTTAATTCTGAAAATTAACCATCAAGCTCCATTATTCCACAGTGATGTATAATTTATTTATATTTCTATCTCTTCAATTTTATACTCAATCTGTATAAAAGGTAAGTGCAAAAATTTGTTACATTTTTAAATAGATTTCGTTTTGAGATTGTTGCCCATAATTTAATTATATAGACAAACCATAACATGGTTCTGAAATTTTACAAATACGTTTTGCAGTTGATTTTCATTGATATCCCAAATCAGGCAATTAAAGATCAAGATTTTACTGACTAAACAGTAACCATTAAATATCCCAAAGAAGTCTAATGGGCTAAAGTCTGGCGATCGTAGTGGCTAAGCGTTCCATTCCCCACCATCCAAGCCATTTTCAATTAGAAACTAAAAGTAACAAAAAACTTGTTGAAACACTATTTCCTATCCGTTCTAAGAATATAAATTTGGAAATAAATTCTGTAGCCAAACAATTTCACATTTATTGAAACCGTGTGATCAATCCTAATTCTGAAATATGAAATAATTAATAAACAATAATAATAAATCGATTGCTAAACTAAAATAAATGCACCACGTTTCTTTAAGGCTCTTTACAGATAAATTTTAATATGTAAAGAACTTAAGAAGATTTTAAAATTCACAAGGGCATTATGATGACAATGTACTGAAAAATATTTTTCATTTATTCTTACAGATTTCTGCAGGTAAATTTTCACATGGTATATTGAAATGTCTTTTTTAGGAAGAAGGGATTTTACAAGTACAAAAGAATGTGCGACTAAAGAGAACTGATTGCCAGGATTAATAAAAGATGTGATCTTCTTTCTGCGATGTAAACCCCTAGTAACGGGAGATTGAATAAATGCTTTTTTATTTTACCCTATAACTATTTACTGTAAAACTAAATTGCTCCAGCAAGTGGCATTTTACAAGTTTTCCTTATTTTAGTTTCTATTTCTTTTATAAGAAATTTTTGGAAAGATTCGAATAAACTGAAAAAAGTTCCTAATCCCACTTCCTCTAAAAACTTTTTCTATTTTCATTATCCTTTATTGAAACCGTGTGTCAATCCTAATTCTGAAACAGGGAAATAATTAATGAATATTAATAATGAAATAACTCTCTTGTACAGACTTTATATAGATAACTTTTATTATATAGAGAAGTGAAGCTATGGAGATTTTAAATACAAATGGTCTGCGAGACTAGCTTGCTAAACAATAAAAGTTTAAAGCAGGCTGGCACAAGTTTATATATGTCGGATACTCAATCAGAATTAAGACATCAGTAATTATCAGCAAGACTAGCTCCATTAACACTGCTCCATGGCGATGCCTCTTAATTGATATGTATTCAAATCAGCTTAGTTCAGTACAGGAAATCATGTTTATAGTGCATGAGGATCAACATCCATGCAGTCGCAATCCTTATTTAGTTAGTTTAATACGGCACAAGGCCATAAAATGTTTGTCACTCAGAAACGACGGGACGTGTATGAAAAGCAATGGCCGACGAAACTATCTTGATAAACATCGATTCATAGAAATGTTCTAAAGTATTTATTCTGATTAGTCCCGCTCCGTTATTGGTATCCGTCTTCATTCAGTACCTCCCCAATACGCTATGAAGGATAGAGCTTTTTTTTTTTTTTTTTTTTTTTTTTTTTTTTTTGTTTGTTTAGCGGTATATTAATCTCTATGGGTTATTTAATGCCGGAATCTAAATATTTTGTACTCAATTTATATTTATTTTATAATGGTTTTAATGATACATGTTTACTAATTAACCCATAGCTGGGGGAGAAGATGTGTTATCATACCTTTCCCTAGGGTATTTGCGTGTAAGTGAATGTAACGAATCCAACTGGAATTGGAACTCGGTTCTCCGATTAACAATTCCAAGTTATTATCCATTACACCACCCACACATCCAAGTATACAACACCTGATATTCCCAAGTGGTCACCCATCTAGGTACTAACCAGGTTGCTTAACTTCGGTGATCGTGTGTGAATTGGTGTTTCAACGTGATGTGGCTGTAAGCCTGAAAATCTAATGAAGGTACTCTGACACCTGCGGCAATTTTCTCATGAACTTGAACATATTTTTCTGTAACCCGCATGCAAATGTATGTTTCAAACTTTACAAATTAGCTATGTGCCACATTTCTTCTGCGTGAGAGGACAATTAAATCACTGTTTAGCGTAGTTTGACACACGGTCACAATTGTAAGTTACCCGGTGAATATCGAACTCACTTCAGTGGTAATTATCTGCGAGACTAGTTCGCTAACAATTTTTCGACGGTGGGACACCCAAATCACCACTATTCCCTTTAATTGTCGTGTTTATCCATACAGCGCCACAGTTTTGTGTTTTTTCCCTTGTTATAACCATTTAGACATGGCTGTACTCTCAATATTTTTTTTTTATCCCGATTGATTTGACACTGCTTAGTTCTTTCAATTGACGGAATTTGATCATAGCCGAACACATAGTGACAAACCAAATAAATACGCTACGCTATTGATTCTCATCCCGAGATCAAGTTCACATCACTGTGTAAATCAGGATGTCAAGTTAGCGGAGGCCATTTTGATAGGCTACGTTTCAACTATGACTCAGATCAAGCAAATGGTGCTAAAGGCGGGAAACAACGGCTCAACTGACTGCCAACTGTTTGTCAAACTTAGGGGTTGTCAGCAGTGGGAATCCATCACAAAAATATAATCTAAAAAAAAAAATGTTATTTTTTGTTTGTTTGATTTTTTCTTGGTGAAGAAAAAAAAAGGAAAACACTGTTCAGGAATTTGTGGAATTTCATCCTCGCTACTCTATCCATTTGTCAGAATATCGGCTTTCATTGTGGAGGGAAAAATTAACTAAGAAAAACAAAATGATTTCCCACAAATCCAAGGCTGTTCGCCATGTTGTCTATACATCTTTATCATTCTCTGGTTGTATTTCCAAACTTAAATAGTCATATAAACTGAAGGCCAAAAAGATATCAAAGCCTGAAAAATATTTTGTCACCCACAGGATAGTTATTATAACATAATATTCCACGGTCCCCCGTTATCCACGGTTTCACGCCTCGCAGCTTCATTTGTGACGCAGAAATAAACCTTTTTTTCTTAATAAAAGCCCTAAAGTTCCGGAATACTGATACAGGCAATTGGGATGTGCCAAAGAGAAGCTCGGAAATACATCTTTAAGTAAAAAGATTAAAGTTTTGGATGTAATAAGACAGGAAAATAACATATGTTGGACTTTATAAAATCTACATTAAAAACAATTTTATTTGTGAACTAAATATCATTACAGTATAATGCTATAAATATTATTACAATATAAATATAATTATTCTATATAATACTCTTATTATACAATAAATATTCTTACACTATATAATGCTATTATTATTACACTATAAATTTTCTTAAACTATATAATACTATTATTATTATTATTACATTATAAATATTCTTACACTATATAATACTAATATTATTAAATTAAAAATATTATCACACTCTATTGCTATGACTGTTCTATTTCATTGTTAGTTATTGTGGCTAATCAGTGCAAAGTCAGTAGGGATTTTATAAACAACGATTACAAAATCATATGCGTAAGAATCATTGTACGTAGGTGGAGAAAGGTATAATAAAAGACTAATATTAGATGAAGACAAAAAAAAAAGGTGCTTTGCGGTGTACTGGCAACTATTCTAGTGAAATCGAAAGGGAATTGATTGATTGATTTCTTTGTTTTTTTTTTATTTTTTCTTTTTCTTTTCTTTTTTGTTTTATCAAACCTTTGTGGGTTATTTCAAACCGAAACATATTTCATATTGCTGAAGGTTGTTTACAGTACCGATGTTCCCAAGCGGACCACCATCTCAGAACTGGCCAGGATCGGTGTTGCTTAAAAACCAAAAGGGAAATCATTTAATATGGCGACCATAACGGTATCTGCATCCACACTCGAAAGCCTTGAAAAAGAAATATATTTAACAAGGAAATACCAAATCTCAGGGCAAATCGCAAGTAATTATCATTTCTAAACGCAAAAGTAAGAAAGGAACAAGATAGTGAAATAGTTGCCAAATATGGACTTGGGTCATGCAACGAATATGGCTAAAAATAGGTTCAATTATACACAGTGAATGGCCAAGTAATGATCAACACTTGGGTTGAAGAACAACCAAGACGCTTGTGAACTTAGAAAAGCCTGGAAGGAGACATCAAAAACAACATGGTCTATTTGAACATGAAACGCACGCAAAAAAACACACACACAAGAACTGACATTAGAAATGATAACTTCCAAGTTCTACGTTAATTAGGGGCAAAATTAGAAAAATTAAATAAACCTAAAGTAATGCTTAAACTGCAATATGTGAAAAACTATACAAGGGCCTCATTTACATCTGGAGTTGCAATTAAGAACAAATATGATGCTTTGAAACCGTTGAAAAGAGAAACAGTTTAAAGAACCCCCTTAATGACAACAGCTGAAGACACCCCGAGAAAAGTAAGACAAAATGTTGTAAGCCTCTTGCTACTCTATCGCTATTTCCTTAGAAAATGTTCTAACATGCTAAATTATTTAATTCCACAAATTCTGATATTCACAGCTAAGGCCCACCCTGCTTCGTACACTGGGATAAATCATCCTGATTCTCTTTGTATTCTATTAGTAAGGAGGAAGTTCCACACTGAATGCCTATTTCTGAGAACCATTAGTTTATGGAACAGGCTTACGAGAAGATGTTTCACCGATCACTACAATCGTGCCCTCCCCCCACACTTAAAGTTTACGGTTAACTCTTATCTTTCCTACATATCTTCATAAACTGAATTTCTCGCCTCCCACTCTTACGCTCATGCAACAAAATTATTTGGTAACTCTCTTCACTGAGAGGCTCTTGGGCCTTGTATTGAGTGAAAAATCAGAAAATAAAATAAAAACACAAAGTGGATGAGAGCTAAGATTCCTGACCTAATAGAAACGGAAACATCAAAAATGCCAAGAAATTGTGTACCATATATGAGCATAAGAGTCAAATATTCATGGGATAGATGGAGCAAAAGAAAAACAAAAGAGAAGGACATTCTTTATTCCTCTTTGGCATGTTTGAGTAATATTTAAATGAAAATATGGACGGGTATCGAAGATTGAAAATTCGATAACATCCATGCAAAAGGTGAAAGAGCAGAGATGTGAGATAATTCAAAAAAATTGTTCTACACATGAAATTTCAATGGATCCAGCTTCTTATTAACAACTTTCTCTCAGAAAGGCTATGCTGAAAAACTTTCGACTCGACCAACTTGTTAAAATCAGATTTTGATGTTTGATTATTAAAATACACATTTAGGTAAGAGGTTCGCATCGAAAATCTCTCAAGGTTTACTTGTATATATATCTGTATTGGAACTACTCGGTAGCTCAGTTGGTTGTGTAGAACCAGTGGTCGGTTTTCGAAGTAAATAAAAGCCAGGGTTTCGAATGATGTTCAAAGTAAACTAACCTTCCCTAGTTAGTGGATAGTAAAACCCAATCTTGCTATTTTGATATATTACAAAATTAACTTTGGTATACTTCACTCAACTGCATCAATAACAATAAAAATGGATTATTTTTATCAATAATAATACCCCCCCATTACAGGAATCCTTCTTTGTCTTACAATTATTCTTATTTATCAAAGAAAATGTTTTCTTTTTTAATTTTTTGTTTTCATTTCTTCATGTTTTTTCTCTCTCTTTTCCTCTCTTTTCTATTTATATCCTTCTTTACCTTTCTTCTTTTTGTTTCCCTCTTCCATCTTTCTTTCGTTAATTATTCCTTTTTTTTTCTACTTTCCTTTTTTCCGTTCCTCCTTACTTCATTTTTCTCTCTTTATTTTTTCTTTTTACTTTTTTAATTTATTGTCTTTTTCATTCTTTTCTTCATTTTTCTGTTCTTCAATCGTTATTCATTTTTTCCTTTCTCTATTTTTTCATTGTTCTTTTTATCTTTCTTTCTTTTCGTGTTTTTTTTTTTACTTTTCAATCTTTTCGACCTTGCTTCCTTTATTTCATTTTCCTCTTTTTTTTCAATTATTCGTTTACATTTATGCCTTCTTCCTGTTATTTTCTTCTTTCTTTCGTTCACTCTTTTTTTTCTCTCTTTCTTTTTCTATATTCTCCTTACTTCCTTCTTAATTTGAGAGCAATTATTGTCGCAAACGGACTGATATGATACATAAGGTGTTTGGTCTGTCAAATATTCAGCATCTCTCATTCACACGCACACACACACACACACACACACACACATACATATATATATATATATATATATATATATATATATATATATATATATAAGAGAGAGAGAGTCAATTTTTATTGTTTGTAATTATTTTCTTTATTTTCCATAATTCCATAAATCATGTTTCTCTATTTTCCACATCTTTACAGCTTTCAAAATTATTTGAATGACGAGGTATTATTTTCATTAGACATTTATAATTTTTCTACACGCGCATGCGCTCACAGAGTCACTTACATGTTGTTCATATCTTATATTTCTTTTTAAAATAGAATAAATCGATCAAAGTTCTATTAGAAATTTTAATATTAAAAACTATAGATCACATAAAACGTTTTTAATGACTGCGAAAGGTTTAAGCTTTGTGGGAATATTCTTCTATGTGCCGTGTCCCTTCATGACATTGGCGATCATGGCTCTCCGCATTTTCCTATCCTTTGTATCTCTTAATAAATTTTGTCTTTTTGTTATCTCTGCTGTACCCTGCTCTACCATCCATTTACTAATGCTCGCTTAGTAGGTTATGCGTTGTTTTCCTCTGTTCTTCTTGCCTTCAATCAGTCCTTGAGTATCAAATTTTCCAAGCAGTCTTTCCTCATTAAAAACCCTGGAAATTTCAGCTGTGCTCTTCTTGATGCTAACTATGTGTCCTTTTTTGTTTTCATTTTCTCTAAAACTTCGTCGTTGCTCACGTGTTCGGTCCATGGTATTCTCAGTGTT